GTTATTCTCTCACCCCCAACTGTTGACGTAGGAAATTGATGGGAGTTTCTACGTTTACCTCACGGTTATAACTTCTGGATGTAGTGGCTATTTTCTCAATCTTGATTCATTTTGTGATTCGCTATGTATTATCTTACCAGCAGCAAGATGCGGCTTTGTCTGCGGAGGTGCAAAAATAAAAAATGATGGTTGTCGGAATGGGTTTTAGGTCCTTTTCCTTTTTACTTCAGAGTTGGCAGTGTGAATATCTCCGAGTATGGTTTTGAACGATAGTACATTTTCTGGGAATTCACATTTTCACATTTCGACCCCGTATGAGATCAGCATTTCAGATCTAATTGCCCGAGGGTCATACTAGGAATAAGGATGTATATGCAAGAAACTGTCCGTCTTTGAAGGACAGTTATTGTGGCATTTTTGAGTGCAACTGAGCAGCACGCCCAGCCAGGAGTTGACATGCAAACTTCTGACATGCAATATTGAATGGCATGACTGCCTATTTGCGTGAGCACTTAGATGATCAGCGATAACTGTGTATTGTCATTGATCGCAATTTTTAGGAAACATTTAACATTATTGATCTTCGCTGGTCAATATGTACGATTATCAGAAGGTTATAAAAAATCAATTATCTTTTCGGATTCATATTCGATTTATTTCACTTTAAGAACAACAAATGCTATGGTGTTTGGCACATGACATTTGTTTGCCGCATGGAAGGCTTACCGAAATTCGGGGTGGCGGCCCCGCCACACTTGGGAGAGAATAAAGCTGGGATCACGAAGCAGGAAAATCGTATTGTCGCGCCGAGTCCTAGCACTTTTTACGTTCTCGCATACTACTTACGTAGTATAGAGAAAAAACATTAATGCCCTAACGGAAGAGGGCGATTTTTCAAAAGAAAAATATTTTCAAAATTTTCTGAAAAATTACTTCTCTTTTCCTCGAACGGGACAGTGCACGATTGAAAAAATGGCACAGATCTAATTTTCATTGAAGTTTCTGACCTTTCAAATATTCAGAAAAGTCCCAAAAGTTTCGGCAAGTTTCTGCAACTACGTAACTGAAGAACGTAATTACATAACTTACAATTAGCATTGGTTTTATTTCAATGTGATAGGTGTCGTGTCATTATCATGTCTCAATAATTAATTTACCTTTTAGCATTTGCAAATACTCGAAAACATTTTGCAATATGCATATAACATATGATATGTGATAAAACGCCCAAATAAGTTATATTTTTCTGTAATGTTCTTAAAAGATCTAAAAATATTGTTAATCCATTTACCTGGTTGGGAACAATCGAAAGATCAGTTTATTACATCTTTAGAGACCTTAAAACACCTCCCAAACCGCAAACTTCTCCACTGAAGCACATTTTTTAAAATTATTTTAGAATGATTTCGTACGAATCGAGAAATGCTGTCTACCGCACAAGGAGACCAAGACGCATTGGATGACATCTTATCTGCCTCGATTGCCAGACCGGAAGGGCTTTACCCGTGAGTGAAGGGCGGACGCAGGTTACTCTGTTGTTTTATAAGGGTTTTTATAAATACGTAGAAATGCGTATTGAAGAATGAATAGTTCAGAAGTGGTCCCTTTTCCATTCCACAAAACAAGTAACATTTTTTCGAAGCGTACTATCAGACTTTTTGCAAGCGAGATGTCCGATTCCCAGATTCCTGGAATTTCCACTCGGGGGCGTCAGCATTATGGCTCAAATTCTTTACCACACCCAGAGGAAACCTACAAGCGCTTTTCAAAATGTTGATCTCCAAGACCTTCACGTAGGTAAACTATACAAGAGTGGAATTTGTTGCGATGTAGACCACGAATCGCATAGGATTGTCTTACACCTATATCTTTGGAAATACGTTGTGAACCAGTGAGTGGATGAAGTAATGTGGGTGCAAGTAACGCGATTTCACATACCTCATTCTCTTTCTGTTCTTATATTTGAAAGCGCCTGTCAAAAGACTGGAGCACACAGTTACAAAAGTCTAGTGAGGTGGAGGACAACGATCTGTATATTGGTCGCGATACCTCACAGCAACTCTCTAACTATTCTAACTTTGGCTTTCTCCAAACACTAGGATCATGCTCAAGATTTCTTTATTGGGAAACGTTAGTCTTAGAAAATAACCTAAATGGAGAAACCCGACATTTTATGACCTGTAAAACTACAAAAACAACTCAATGTGGACTCGTGCTAACATAGCTCAATTCTAACATTTAATATATTTTACAATAGGTTTAAGTATAAATATTCGTGCAGAAATAATGTTTTTAAGGAATTATGAATTATTATTAAAAATACGGTAATACGGATGAAAATAGTGTTGAAAGCTGCATCAGTGTTGACTGTTTGTTCTGTTGCGCATGTTCTAGAACATGTGAAACACGTGGAAGAACTGTCCTCAATGGTTGCCATCCTCTTAGAAGAAAATTATGGCGAAATTGTCTCTAGGCCCTGAGATTTAATCAACGCGATCTACCCAGATCTATTTAGGTGGCGTTGGTTTAATTCTCCCTGTATCCACTAACATCGCAGCGCTAAAACACGTTTTTGTAAATTTCTTAAAATGTTCTCGTCGGACCCGAACACAAATTCTCAGTTCCCCATCAGAAGATCGAAACGCATCGAATGACACCTCATATGTCTTCATTGATCCACAGGAAGTGGTCTATCCGTGAGTGACAGATACGCGCACACGGTTACTGAAATACTGTATAGTGATTGGACTTCCGGGAGGCCTAGTCCACCCCAGCTACCATCCCCAGCCGTTTGCCAATGGGAATCAATACGGTGTGGGCCGCGCTGTAACTCATGATTTGCGATTATACCATGTGAGTGCAAGCGTGGGCTTCGCTGTTTTGTAAACGTAAATTTAAATGTTTTGTAAATGTAAATTTAACAGTTTATATCCTTGTGTTTTATTCTGTTTGCTCCTGACTGAATTAAGTGTTTGTTAACTGTGAGTACGTGGGTCACATATGGAACCCACTCTTCCAACCCTCTCAATGCAGCACCTATGATGGTTTTCGACAAGGCGTAATGTTTTTGAAATGGACGAGCTGATTACCCGACATTGCTCAGATGTTCGTATCACAATGACTAGATCATCCCCACTCACTCCGTCAGCCCCTCCTGCTTCGCAGGCCCCGCGAGCGGCGCACGCCCCACAGCGAACCTCCCGCCCCAACGCGGGTCGCGTCGACACGTTTTGGTCTAACCTAATTTGTGGTCATATTTCAATACCCTTGTGAGTATTAATGTGAAAGTGTTAAACATATTTTCCGTTTGGTTTAATAATGATTTTATAAAAATACATGTAACAAGTTGGTTGAATCAAACCCTCATAGGCTTGAGTTTATTAATAAATGTCCAAGGAGGACATGCTAAATGTTATGATGTTATGTGTACTCTTTTCTTCTCTTATTTGACGAATACATATATTTTATGTGTATTGCTCTGTTTTCACATTAATGTGAACACACATGTAGAACAGTGATTTTTTCTCGCCTACTCAAAAGTGCGCGCGAACACACACACACATTTTTAAATATAATGTGAAATAATTTTGTGTATCTTCATTTATATTATGTACAATACATATTTCACTTCATTACAAATATTATTTTTCATGTGCTGTAAATAAACATTAATAAAACATTAAATGGCAAGTTACAATTATTTCTTCCTTCCATGAGTTTACTTAAATAATTAAAGATTAACATTTCAATATTCGTTCAAAAATATTTGCTTTCAAGTGTTTGAAACTTACATTAAAAGCAATTTGCAAAGGGTGAAATGTTTGTAAGGTTTGCTCTCTGTAATTACAGTTAAATATAATTACATATCATCTTAATCCGTACAATAAATTATGGCATAATGAATTAATTTTCTGACTAACACTCAAAACTAAATTAATGAAGACCTATTTGCCTCTTAGTTATCCTTTTCGAATTCGACAACATACTTCGCGATTTCGCATTATTTTCATCTGTGTTTTTTTATTTCATTTATCTATTGGGGTTTGCGGTCCCAACATCTGAGGCTATTGGGGCCAAAATGTTTTCTAGACTTCAGATACGACAGCCATCATGATGTGAATGAGGAATGACAATTAGCGAAATGAGAAACTTGGGTGTAGAATAATCCAAAGAAAACATTATTCTAGAGGTCACTGCAGTGTCTCTGACCAGGAGGTTCGAGGATTTGAATCCCAATGGTGGCAGTATTTTCGACTTTAGCTTGCCAGCCAGGTCGAATTCAGCAGCGGTTTGGAGGAGAATTCTGGCGGTCGACTGCTCTGCTCGGTAGTTTTCAGTGGTTTCTCCGATCTACACCAGGCGAACGCAGAAGTTCGCTACCAAACGGTCCATAGACCGCGCGCGATCTTTCCTTCCTTTTCCTTGCGCTTTCCTCCTCCCTTCCTTATACCCACTTACTCTAGCATGCACTACACTAACATCCATGCCGGGTGGTCGGTCGGGAGCTGAGAGCTTGCCTCGGTTGGCGCGGTGCCGCGCTGGTGGGAGGCAACTTGTTGGGGATAATCTCCGCAAGCCGGCGTAGATCAGCCCCGGCTCTTCTCATCCTGCGGGGATGATCCACACCGCAATAAAGCATGTACGATACATACGGGATTGCCTTAAACGTCGACGCGCCAGGAATCACCAATCAATCAACACGTTTTGTCCACTAGATATTATACATGTGTCGGCCGGGGATGAAATCCGAGCTCCACCTGTCACATGGATTCGCGCTTGATGTTAGGTCACGAGCGCCCCCTAAATGATATAGTTTTAGGTGATTGTATAAGTAAAAAGTTATAAATTCGACAAAAATATATTTAAATGTTTTATTAAAACTGAAGTTTATTTTACATTTATACTTATGAAAAACGTCGACGATTGGTAAAAATTAATAGTAGTAACTACTTCAAAATGTATTCCAATTACAATAGTTGCATCTTTTAATTCGTTAACCACTCTTCAAACTATCAGAAAAAAATCCAGAATTGAATTACAATTTTAAAATGATAAAACTAACAAATCATCCCAAACGTCAACTCAGAAGATCCTGAAATCAGCTTTTAGAACCGGTGTCTCTCGGGCAACAGTTTTTCCTTTTGCACAAATGTGCACGTATAGGCGCGACCAGCACGGCTCCCGAGCATCACACGACGAATTCGCACACTGGGTGGGGAATTGAAATTCTTGACCGACCACGTCTGGCAGTCAACGCGCGTGTCGTGACAGAGGTGTTCTTACCCAGAAGTGGAAAGAAATAGTTTGGTCAATTCAACACCAGCACGCCTGGGGTAAGCAAAAATGAGAAGTTAATGGTTTTTCAGAATAAAATTATAATGAACAGTATGTTGCATGGTCAAAAATATTGCACCCACTGCACATTTTACTGCGGTCTTTGCGGTCGTCCTCTGCTCTACCCAGCTCTGACATCTTCGCTGGGAAGAGAGCTGCTCGCGCCTCTACTTCGAGCCGCAGCAGATAATGTCGGCTAGCTGGGGATGGATGAAGGTTTCCCCCTTCCACTGCTTCAAGGTCAGGCCTCGCCTGGCTCGCCCTGCCTGCGAATGTGATTACTCAGAAGCCAGAGCTATCAAGGCAAAATTATTTTCAATGACATCTTTTGTTAGTATAAATTACCGTACAGGTTTTTTGTTATTGTTGCGAAGGTCGCATCAACTACTAGGTCATTAGCGACCACTATTGCGTGTAACGGTATGGTAACTATGAGGATGACACGATATGATGGTGGGAGTAAAAGGACGAACACAACCACAACCATTCCCGACGCGGGACTCGAACTTCGATCCTTCGGTCCGAGATCTCGGCCATCCGGAGCGGCACCACACAGTTTGTCGAGAAGTTTAGAACTTATAAAATGATTAGATGGAACATATTTTCTCTCGCCCTAATGAGAGTGCACCAGAATGTTCAGAGATTTTATTAATTTTTCTGAGGAATAATGTTCCGACTTGTGAACAGACACCTAGAATCCACGAATTTTTTAATAGCATAGGTCATTTTTCTTAGGGAATCAATATGCAGGGCAGGGCAGTGCTTGACGCAAAGGCAATCCATTGAAGTGTTAGTGAATTGCCGGTTTGCTCATAATTTCGATAGTATTTGTAGGACTTAGCAGTGAAGTAATGAGTGATTCTTCTAATCTAACGGGTATTCAGGAAAAATTGTGTGAAGCATGTCTTCCAGCGACTGTATAGATGAGATTTCGAGGAGACCATTTTCAACGGGGCAGTTTTACGAGGAATTGAAAGGTAGGCCACCGCTGGCATCTGGGGTATAAAAAGTAATCCCCGCGCGCCCCTGGATTCAAGTAAGCAGACGTGGATTATACTATAGCTCATACACACTCCACTTACTGCCTCCCGTTATACACTTATCCACTCCAATTCGCTTACGCCTATTTTTTTCTAAATAAAATAGAAAACGTCACAAAGAAACAACTCTTGAGGTTTTGATAGCACCATTCCTCTGACATGGCTTCGCGTCATGCATGCCACTGACACGCAGCGTTCTGTCGCTCGTCTTTTCTGTCACCGGCAACACACTTCACTTCAGTTACAGTTTTCTCTATGCTACGCCATATAAGCAATTAGATAAAACTGCCCAAACAAGTATACAGTTTGCTGTTGCATTGAAGACGTTTAGAATATCACTACACCCAATCAACTTGACACTCGATTTACGAATCAGATCAATACAATATACCTTCCAAACCACCGAACACGTTTATTCCAATTCTTCTAACGTTGTTAGCAGTTTTATATTTTTCTTAGTGCATCCTTATTATTCCAACAATAAAGAAAAGACGATTGTATTTACGAAGAACGTAAGCTCCCCAGACCTTTTTATAGCTACGATCTTGCTTCACACGATTGATTATCACGCTATCAGCAAACTCAGACCCAAATCGTAGATCTCCCTTTAAAACTCCTTGCTTAGCGTGTTGTGAATTCCTTGCAGGAACCTCAGTAGAAGGGTTCCTTGAGATTAGGATGCAGCGACTGAAACCACTGCTCCCGCCGAAGTCGACGTTTCTGCCTGTCGCCACCCTTAGACCCGCGTGAATGACAGAACACCACACACACCAGTCGTAGAGTGAAGAAATACACCAGCTCGAAAACGCTTAGTAAACTGCAGCCTAAAAAGAAACCGGCTGTTCCTCCATACGACACTGAAATTAGAATGAAACCATTAAAGACAGATAAACAAATATTGTATTTTCATTACTAATTACTGATAAATATATCGGGATCATATTCAGTACCTAAAAGATCTTCTATTCCAAATAATACTCGTTTTATATAACGAGCTGTGCTGAATTCTTTCATTCCATAAGTAATCATAACATTAAGTCCCGCTCTGAAAAGTTAACATAAAAATACACAAATGCCCGAAACAAATTACCATTTTTAAAGTGTACAATGTGCACGTACTATTTCTAGAAACTTACGGAGCAACATCTGCAGTTCTTACTTCGTACTCAATGTGTTCACATGGCTGAATACATCTACAAGATTCTTTCTTCTCGACTCCCCCTTCTTCTTTGTAAAGAGTTTGAAGATGTTTGACATGTCGTGATAGGCAGGCCAGACCTTTCGCGTTGCAAACTTTCTTATTTCCTCCTGTAGATTAACGGATAATTTAGTTTAGTTTACTTAAATAATAAAATGATTGGATTGGTAATATCACACTGACTATTCAACTTACACTTGCACACACACATTGACAAAAGGTGGGAAGACAAAAACTCACAGATTCACTCCCTCCAAGATTGGCAACGTCAATATTGATGTTAGTAAAGCTAAAAACGGTTCTGCCCGACGTCACCTATTCTTTCTGCAGACGTGTTCATCAGTAACGACAATGGTTGTCTATGATTTATGTCACCTTTTTAATCAACTTCTGTTGAATTTCAAATCGTAGGCTTCCGCGGACAGGGTCATGTGCATGATCTTGGCTGTCCGGGCGACGCCGCGTCGAAAGCTGTGTTGCCGACGTTTCGACCATCTTGTCGTGGTTTTCCTCAGGGCTGATATGCCAAGCCAGCCCTGAGGAAGACCACGACAGCATACCAGCCCTGAGGAAGACCACGACAAGGTCGAAACGTCGGCAACACAGCTTTCGACGCGGCGTCACCCGGACAGCCAAGATCATGCATTCTGTTGAATTTCTCATCCCTTAAGTCTTCACCAAACAAAACGCGGGAAACTCGATAAACAAAGATATAACCTTGCTAAGTGGGTATGTTCTAAAGCAGAGTTTCTGAGATAATTATTTAAAGTTCCTCTTTTCGAACAATTTTTTTCGGATTTTAAAAATTTTAATACATTTTAACTGTTAGTATGAGACGTTTACATTTTTTTAACATTATTGCACTGTTTTCTATGTTCTGTCTTGGAACCGATAGATGCAAAGTTGGTAACACAAAATCCTGAAATTACACAGACAGAAGGGCAATTTCCAATAATCTTTGTAACTACTCATGTAAGTTTGTATTGAAAACAAACAAAAAACATAGGTTCACTCAGGTATATATACAAAGAGCTAGAGTCAAGAGACAGACAGACGCAGATGGAGTCATACACACACACACACACACACACACACACACACACACACACACACACACACTTTTCCCCTTAACTGCCAACGACCGTGTCCCTTTCATCCCATGATGTAATCAGCTCAATAAAGTCACTTGGTCTTCCAGCATATGTAGTTTCTTTCACTTCCAACCACTCCTATGTGCATCACTTGTTTTGCTAGGCAGTGTGCATTAATTTTCCTTTTTTAAATCGTAAATTCTCTAATTGCATTTTCCTTAAAATGTAAAATTATGTTTTATCAAACCCATGTTAAATGAAACTTCATTGCATGTAATTTCTGTATTGAAAATAGAGAGTGAGGAAAGACAACTGAATGCCTTTCTGACAGTAATATTCCGATGTTTTTTCCATGCTATAACCGGATCCATTAATTAGAGAAAAAGTTCAAATACATATAATGAAGGTACTGTTATTCTATTTCATTTCACTTACAATCAACATCAAGGAAAAATGAAAAGTTTTTGAGTTACATAGAGATAAAGTGGGATAATTCCCATTTCACATGGTTATAACAGCAAATTTTGCAGTGCTCTCGCAGATGAATCTTTTATTGAAAGAAAACACTTTAGACTTTAAATGTAGGTAATTTTATTAACGCATTTTATACAGGATCATTTGAGAAGTGAATTATTATCGAGATATTTCTGAAGAAATTGAAAAAAGTATGGATTTTTATACATTTTTGCTTAAGAAACTATAATCTCAGTCAAAATTGTACTTGGCAAGCCTCAATTGTGTCAAAAAGAAAAAAATATCAAAATCATACCAAACATCCGCATTTTTCTACCATTTGCAGACTAAAAAGTAAAAATAATTCCAGAGAGTTGTTCCCAATAATAAAACAATATTAATTGTACACTATTTTATTTATATAAAAGTGATAATTTTCCTCTCTACAATAATTGGTGAAGAAAAATCCCGTGCAACGTCAAACACTTTCTGCTACATATTTTTTAAAAGGTATAGTACATTTTTTTATAAAAATAAATTAAAAATATACTACTTTCAGCAAAAAATTGAAACTTCTGCCCCAAAACCAAGTCTAATGCTAGACAAGGTTTTTGCTTCTCTTCGAATTGACAAGCGAGACTGGTTTCTGAAATAAATGGTTCAGTTATTATTAAATAATAAGGAAAAACTCACCAAGAGAATTATAAAAGAACGGTGCACATCCACACAGACTTATTGCTAGCCGCCGCCGACACTTCATGAGGCATATATTGAAACTACTAAATGGCAAATTGCCACTAGGTTCTGTTTGAAGGAAACAATGCCGTTGTGACAGTTTCAGTTTGTACACTTCAACGTCTGAAATTATTTGTGAAGCCATATAAAAGATCAGGTTGGCCCCATTGAATCCGTATTCGAACTTGTCAGATGCCTGCTGCACTTCATAAGGAGAATGTACTGAATACTGGGAACAAAAATTATCACAGAAAGAAGACTCAGAATTTACGCCATATACGATATGCAATGCACGAAACATTCCACATATTTGAGGTTGTTTGGACCCATATACAAACGGAATAATTGCATAAAACTTACAACTAGATTTTATTTCATGCGTGCCTTGCAAGCACAAACACTGCCCGATTTGTTCTTACAGATAACGGCATCCAAATCTCGCTCCCTATCGCCGCGTGGGCGGGATATGTGATGTCACGCGTGGGCGCTTTGCGAGCGTCGTAACATCACGCCAACTCTCAGTAAATCTATCTTGGTCTACGCGCAATGTTTGCACCTGTTTCTAACAGTCCAAATCTTCGAAATTGAAAACTCGCACTTGGCCTGTTCGATCTCCTTCCCACCCAGCGCCTCGGGCACAGGGAGTCTTGAGTTCCGTTGCAGAAAATTCCGTTTAGTTTCGAACGCCATGCGAGTTACACGCGTGTGTTGCCTCTGGAAGTCCGTGAGGAGGCTCACGGCATGTTTCCCAGTAAAAATAATTTCTGTGTCTCCGGCGAACATTGTAATTTGTTTTGATGTCTCACTACGAGCATCACTTTTCTATCTGTAATATAAAATGAATCGCAAAATGTGTTGGTAAGCGCATAACTCAACAACGCCCGGATCAATTTGGCCAATTTTTTATTTTAAATGTTCGTTGAAGTTCAAGGATGGTTTTTACGTCGAGAAAAATTCAAATAATGGCCGGAAAAAAACTGCCCTTTTTTTCCTTCACAAACGTTTTCTAACTAAAACGTAAATACAATTTGAACCCGAAATGCTACAAACCAAGCTAATTACCGATCTAATCATGCTGCACAAGAACGTGACGACCGAAATGAACGTAGAAGAATTCGGATATCACAAACCCGTGAAGCGCGAGCGCTACATTCAACTAATAATCGCGCAAGTTTGAATCGAGCTGCTTTCAGTTACGATGTGTCAATTGACTACAGTAACTTCCAATGTGTTATTGGTTCTATGAACTCCGTTTGCTCATATTGTAAGGCATTGAAATATAAAAATGAAGCTAATGGATTGTGTTGCGCAAATGGTAATGTGAAGTTTACACCATTGGAACCACCACCAGAGCCATTGTTCCCCTTGGTTTTAGAAATAGGAACAGATTCCATACACGTTTTGACAAATATCCAACAATATAACAATGACATCATTAGGGTCAACAAATGTAGTTCAGGAAAATTTTATGCCAATTTTCAAGGTATGTATTAGAGCAGTTAATCACCCACCAGAGGGACACACCACCAAACAAACAGGGACAGAATATGCCGGTGTTCGAGGGTTTTGGGCAAATGAAAAAAAACCAAATCTGGAAACAATAACTTTCTTCTAACAACTCATTGGTATTGGGTAATGGCAAATTTTCCCTATAGACCTGGTTGGAACAGGTTTTGCATTAACTTTTCCTCAAAGTTTTTTTTTTTTGTCAGTTTAACTCGATTAAAAGATGAAAACTTTTATTCCAGAAAGGGCTCGTTTCCCCAGATTGATTATTTTCTCAAATTATAACAACGAAACACATGTTTGGTTGAGCTTAACGAGCTATTTGCCATCTGCAAACAAAACATAGCTATGTCAATGAAATTAACAATTATACATAATTCACGACACACACATTCACAGGCGGAATCGAGGAATATACTACAACCCTCTGTTTGAATTTGGGCTTACTCACCAGATATTAGTTGAAACTATCCCACAGAAATAAATAATATATGGGACTTTGCCAGGATTGCAAACCTCAACAATCCTTCATTAAAGGACGTTGCGAAATAGGTAGTTATATATTTTGCGAAATATCACCAACCATGTCTTTGGGCAACGGGCAACAAACTGTTAGCGATAAAAAATTACTACACCGTGATAGAAGCAACTATACTGAAAGGAAGTATAAGGAAAGCGTTCTCGAACGGCGCATCCAATGATTTCGACTGGATGTGCCGTTTAACTTTAATCGACTAAGTTTTCCCAGTTTCGGCTTGCTTTTGCTATGACATAACAAGTCCGAGGGGGCAAATTCATTAAGTTTTGTGGTATTAATCTGGAAAAGCCATGTTTCTCACAACCGGTCAATTCTATGTTGGCCCTGTTCCCGTGTGTGGAAAATCATCAGATCTGTTTTTTCTATGTGCAGGGGTAATCTAACAAAAAACATCGTATATCACAAAGCACTAAATTAAATTAATTGATTTTTGTTAATAATTAATGATTCACATGATTAACAATAAGCGATTACTTACTTTAATATGCTTATATATATATATATATATATAATATATATAATTATATAATATACTATATAGTGTTCTTATTAATTCATATTTCTTATTCCAACGCCCTATCACAGGTGACGGGTTTCTGTCTGTCAGGGAGACATTTTTGCGCAGACTATTAAATGTGGGGGAAAAATTCACATTACAATCTATTTGACAGAAGACGTCTGTCGGGTCCCGCTAGTCTATAATATAAAATGGAAGTCGCAAATGTGTGTTGGTAAGCGGATACCTCAACCAACCTGGACCAATTTGGCGCAATTTTTTTTTAAATGACTGTTGAAGTATTTCAAGGATGTTTTTTACGCTGAGAAAAAATCCGAAAATTGCGAACAAACTAAAAACAGTCCCTTTTTCTTTTTTCCCATAAAAACGTTTCTACTAAAAACGTCGAGTCATTTGAAGCTTTTATAGCTATTGTATAAAGCACTCATTTGTGTGTTTAAAATGTAGTTATGTTCCTAAATGTCAAAGAGTCAATTTTCAGCTTTATTGCCGTTATACAAACGTCAAATTCAATCATATCTATCAAAACGTATGCGTGTGTGCGCGTTGGCAGGCAGAATACATCGTTGGCTGGCATTTAAGTTGTCGCGTTCGAAACGTATTAATATAGGATATGCTCCTATTAACGAAGCAATTTTAGGTGAAGAACCCGAAATGTATAACCACAGCTAATACCGATCTAATCAAGCTGCACAAGAACGTGACGGACCGAAATGAACTGTAAAGAATTCGGATATCAAACGCCGTGAAGCGCGAGCGCTACATTCAACTAAATAATCGGGCGCAAGTTTGAGAATCGATCTGCTTTCAGTTACGATGTGTCAATTGACTACAGTAACTACCAATGTGTTGTTATTGGTTCTATGAACTCGTTTGCTCATATTGTAAGGCATTAAAAATATAAAACGAAGCTAATGGATTGTGTTTCGCAATGGTAAGTGAAAATGATACCATTGGAAACACCACCAGAGCCATTTACTCATTGGTTTCCAGGAATAGGAAAAAAATTCCATACCACTTTTTGACAAATATCCAACAAATAACATTCGCTTTATGACAAAAGAGATTGCCACTGCACACAATTTTTGATTTTGAGTTGGTTTGAAAAGATAAGGCAAATGAAGTTGCATGCAGTGATATCAGTGAGATCTCTAATGGTACAGCAGATCCTGGATTGCCATGTGAGTAGTTATCAAAATATATAATGCAGTCCCTGTGGAAACTCTTAATCAAAATTCACCGA